CTCAATCACTCTCTATGCAGAGCCAAATATTTGAAAGTATAAAAGAAACTGATATGGATTTGCGAAAAGATTTTTCTCACGATCCAAAGGATCGAACTTTCTGAATGGGACACTCTTTAGTTTAGTAGAGAAAAAACAGAAAAAATTCTAAGTTTTGAAATTTCTATTTAAACTTGGCTCTTAATTTTTTTTTTCTTTTTTTTTTGTGAGGAGAAATTGATTGAATATAACCTGTGTCGACTTTCATAAGTTTAAAAAAGAAATTTTTTTTTAAAAAAAAAAAGCGAATTATGCATTTATTTAGCATTCAAGAGTTACTTAGGGAGTCCCAAAAGTAAAGCCACATATTATTAATTTAGGAGGACAAAAATGTGAAGGAGAGTTATAAAAGACTTCTAGAGTCACTGAAGCTCTGGGGATAGAGCGCTTGCCTCCCAATAAGGTGAGCCAGGCTCGTTAGCAGTAATGACTGGTTGATACGAATTCTGCTCCCGGCTCGCAGTGACCACAGTACGGACGTAAAATATCCTCAGTGTTTGACGGATCATGTGTTAGAATGTCCCTGCCGTTGGGTTAATCGTCTAATGTTTGGGTGTTTTTCTTCTTCATGCATCGCGAATACAGGCTTGTATCATCATCTTCTACTACAGACTTGATCCAGGAGTTCCCTTGTCTTCCGGACATTACAAGACAATGAAGTTGAAATTCGGTAGTCATAAACTCGAAATTGGGTCGGCTGTTCAACGTCGATTTCTTAATCATTGTATTTTTTAAAAATAACAATTTTGTGATATTTTGAGATCATAGTATTCAAATTTATAAAAACATTTTTAATTGCATTTACATGCAATTTTTAAAGTATATCATTGCACACCCAGAATATCGATCAATATCGGATCTAATTTATAGATATTGATTCTCCTCAGCATTCTCTTAATGCTTGCAGGATTGTGCAGCTCTGGACCCAATAGATGAATATTAGCAAAAATATGTTTTGTTCAAAACCGCTTTCTTTCATAATCTTCTATCGTCAACTCAGCATCTCGTCTGTGAAATTTTATCCCAGACACAACTCAAAATGCGTCTTTAAGAAAATGAACAAGGTCTACGATTCCGTTTTTCAAACTTTTCATGCGAAAATTGTTTTGTTTTTTTTTCTTTAATTAAACTAATGCATTGTATCGAATTCGTAATGTGGTGCAGTCTATTAACCGATATCACTTAGCACGTCTTTTTTAATTAATCTTTTTTTAAAAGATATAAAAGGTCAGCAGTTCTTTTTACAAGATTGTCACGGGTCCTATGAATTTATAATCATGGTATTAAACGAATTTAGATTTTTTAAAGCCAAATATTATAATATTACCACCCAGGAATAATTTATGATTTTAACACTCCGGAAGCCTTGATGCTCTGTAATGCTATTTTCTCAAAATTTTTCGCTTAATTTTTAAAATTGGGAAGAAAATAGGAAAGACGCAATTTTTGCTGCTTTCATTTTCTTAAACAAGCATTTCGAGCTGAATCCATTTCCTTAAACACGCAAGACAAGGAAACTCCTGGATCAAGTATTGAGAGAAATTTACTAATCCGCCTTTGTATTGCATGGAGAGCAAAAACTACGAAAACCTCTCATGGTTAGCCTAATGACTGCAACAAATGATGCGTCTACCACTGAGGATATTTTACGTCAACATCGTTGTCCTCGTAAGCCGGGGCGGAATTCGTACCATCGTTGGGGTTCCAACCCGGGTTTCCTCATTAGAAGAAGAGCGCTCTATCCCGTGAGTTACTCAGGTCTTTATTCGGGGCATCATCCATCTGATCAACGTTACTATGGCTGCGTCACATTTTATAACAACTATTCTATTTTGAGCATTCTTTTAATAGCATAAAATAGATTACTTTTCTTAAAAATTTGGTTATTTTTTCTTCAAAAAAAATCACATTTCGGTACGTGCGAATTCCTCCAAATTTAAGTACTATAGAGTTAGTTTAATTAAACAATCAAATAGTAAAAAAAAAAAAAAACCACTAAGCAATCAGAAAATCAAAACAAATTTTCTAGCTTAAAACCTGCAAAACCTTCTGTTTCTCAAACTGAACTAAAAATACACTCTCACTCGTTATTTTAGAATACTTATCAAAAATTTTTTCAAAAAAAGTAGTAGAGGGGCCTCAGCATAATTTCCAACCCCCCCCCCCAAAGAAAAAAAATGAAAAAGAAATCCATCAAATTTTAACGAATCTTTGTTGAGGGAGTTGGGATTGAAAACATCAACCGTTGCCGGTAGAACGAGGGAGGAGTTCAATAGTAGTTATACAAAATGCATTTAGGCTTTGTCTAGCCATCAAACTGATCTTGATATTTTTTCCTGCCTACTCAATTACATTTTACAAAATTTGATAGCGTTTTTATTTCTTCCACATATGTAAAACATTTTTTTTTTCTCTCTTGACAACATTTCAAAAATAATCTATTAAAGGCCAATTATTTTTAAAAGATCAAGATTTGTGACTTTCAACTACAATTTCGCCGAAGTGGACTGGTTTTAAGACTCGGTTTGCAGTAGATTACTGAAGTTGTAACATCGGTCTTTGCATGTGTCTATTTTGATCAGCCTGCGAAGGGACCGAGGGTGCACACGGTATTGATCCATGTTCAGTCTTAAAGAGTTCAACTTCGCAGGCAAGTCATCGGGGGTCTTAAAGCGAGGAAGCCTCTGCAAAAGATCAAAATTGTGTCATCTCACAACTTCGGATCATCCTCCGGGATGTTTCCCAGGCCGTCGTCAACGTCCCATTCCGCATCTCTAGTATGACGTAAATAAAGTACTACTAACCAAACACAATTTTTTCTAAATTCCTTAAGTTTAAATTTGAGAGGTGCCTTTTTCTTCTTGTTTAGTTTTATCTATCACTTTACATCCAATCCGGTTGCTCTACCAAGCCTTTTTATTCAAATTATTTTATTAATTAAAAAATTGTTTCTCAAGGAGGGCGATACTGCCCCCCCCCGGGGGACGGTGTGAGTATGCTGAGGGGAGGTAAACTAGCTTTGTCCTTCAAATTTAATTTTAAAGCCCCCAAGTGGAATTATTAAATTAAAATTAATTTAATGAATAAAATTAATCTAAAATGAATATTAAGGAAAAAAAGATTAAATGAATATAATAAATTAAGATTATCCGATACCCCAATTTGAACCAGTCATTCAAGCTCATTCAAACCATTTGGTGAAAATTGAAGTGCTGCGCTTTCAGTATGAATTTGACCCGTGTTTCTTATGATGGTTTTCATTTGCATCATTTCAGTCTATTCCTGTTTTGATTCTATTTCATTGTTTATGTAGCCAGATTTGTGCGCGAATTTGTTCTTTATCATAAATTATAGATTAATTTTGAGAAATAGTTGATTTTTTTTTTTTATCGTTTGTGTTTTGTTGCCGCCAACAATGTCGGTTAACAACTGTGTCGTCAATACGTCATTGAAATTCGGACTTGTTCAATCGCCCTCTCAACTACTCATGTGTCTACTTTATAACAAAATTTTATCGAATGAGGCAATGGAATCTTCCCATTTGCAAATATTTATCCTGACAAATAAAATAATGATTTGTCATTTTTCTCAAACATACTAGTTTCTGAAAACACCTTCATTCTCAAGTTTACTCAGGGGCGGATTAAGCGTACGAGGGGCCCTAGGCCATTCAAATTTTTGGGGCCTTTAGATTAAACTTTTTTCTATATTTTTTATTTATTCAAATATAAAAGCATTTATATATCTTTTCATTTAAGAAAGCATATTTAAAATTAATATAAATAATAATAAATTAAATTTTACTTTATTTTGTTAAATTAGAACTTAAAAAATTATCGCATTTTATTAATATATATTTGAAATTGATTATTTTTTTAAAAAAATCATTGTTTTTCTTAATTTCCTTTTAATTTATTTTCAAAAAAACTTTTTTAAGGGGGCCCCTAATCATTGGGGACCCCAGGCCATGGCCTAGTGGGTAATCCGCCCCTGAGTTTACTTGCAACCTCATCACAAAAATACGGCCTGAAGTTTGGACTTCTTAATGTTAATTTTACTTTTTGTATATTTCGCCATATCAAGAGAACATTTAAAACGAGATAAAAAAAACTTTTGCACATACTTACAAAATTCGTTAGTCCAAAGATAATTCCATGAAAAGAATAAATTTTAGTACAGTTTTACTATTATACTTAAGAATGGTCGAAAACTTTTTGAATTGTAAGGTATGTAATATCATTTTAAAATATGTAATTTTACATGGCAAAATATAAGATTTGAGCGAAATCAGTTTAATAGTTCCTGACGCAACATTAAAAATGAGTGATGGAAGGCAAAGATTCGATCATTAGATCAAATTACTCAGGCTATTCCGTTTTTTAATTTGCGCACTGTACGCCTGGCTGCGGATAATTATGCCACTTCCTAACTATGCTCTGCATTTATTGCATCAATGATTACTCGTACTTTAAAATTGCACATATCTAAATATTCCACACACATCTTTGTGTAAGGCCTAACAATAAAAAATTATATTCTTCCTTGACAATAAAATCGTTTTTTAGGCCTAACAATAAAAAATAAATTTTCTTAATTTTATTCCATCATTATTCTACCTATCTACCATTGTTCTGTTCTCAAATTTAAGATCTATGGAGTTTCATTTTCCAATCAAATCGATTGCAAAATAAATTCTTAGCAAATGGAAAATCAGAAGAAAGTTCTTAAGCAGATGACTGAAAAACCTAAAACGATCACTAATAGTAGATAGTAATTGTTGTAACACACATTGATCGTCCTCAACTAGATGGCAAAACTATCTAAACTGATTCTAAGTGCAACATTCACCCAACAACGAAAGTTAGGTTATTCAATCTTATAAATTCAACTTTTCATATATAAAGAAAAATATTAAATCACATCATAATAATCAAGACTATAAACAATCAGAATGCTACCGATTTTGCGAAAATACTTTATTAACACACACAACAAAAAATAAGGTTTTTCAGAATTCGACACATGATTGTTAAAAGTATTGAACATTCTTATTTTTACATAAAATACAATAATAAATCACTCCACATGAACATGATTATAATAGCTACAACACTATTTTGCTTTTAAAAAAAATTATACCATATAAGAAGAAATAAATTTCAAAAACTTTCTTTTAAAAATTAATTCCTTCCCCGAACCAGCAAATGCAATTTTTAAGTAAGTGCATTTTAATTTAATTGTAAATAAACAAAAAAAGATAAAAATATTAATTTTAAAATACATCTTTGACAAATTTTTTAAAATTTATTTCTTCACCCATTACGTTAGAATACAAAGTAGAATATTAAATAAAGTACATTAAATAAAATGCCATATATAGAAAAAAATTTAAATATTTTCAACAAGATATTGAGCTTGTGCTGAACCATAATAAGAAATGAACTACAAATTAATATATCACACGCTTACACCATATGACAAAAAAGTTATTTAAGAATACTCATGAACTGGGCAGCTATTACAAATGAAATAAAACATTAAAAACATTTGCATATTTCATTATTTAATTTACTAACTTAGTTAAACATAGTTTTTGGAATTTAAAAAAAAAAATTTATAATAATTTATTAATTTGGATTTTTCAGTTGTTTGAGTGATTTTCTGTGCTCTTTTTCAAAAATGTGGTTAATCATAATTCTCAAAAACATTAAAATGTGATTAAAAAAATTTATAAGTAATATTTTAACTAACTGTCATGTATACTCTAGGGCAATATTTTTGTTTACGTAAATATGAAATTTATAAAATAGTTAAGGTGTGGAAGATGCTTAGATTGAAGAACAAGAAATTGATCTTATGAAGCAATCTATACTACTTTATATGTTTCATAAACCAAATTTACTTAAAAACAAAATGAAATTTATTTTCTCTAATTATAACATAAAATATTTTGTATTTATAAGAAATATTAAAAAAATTGTAATTGTACAACATGTGCTAGAAAAGATTTAAAAAAATAGGACGTAACAGGTAATTTCAATTAAAAGTTGCTAGAAGTTTTTTTTTTTTTTCTTTTCTAGTTGAAAAAAACATATACTTTTAACTCCGGATTCTAAAGCTAAGAGAATAAATAACAATTAATATTTTGATCAAGTATAACTGGTAGTAAATAAATTAATCTAATCCAGTAACCAAAGTTACAGAGTCAACTAAGATGAGTTTGAAAGACTTTTCAGTACATACGCTTATTTTATAGGCATTATTTATGAATAAATACACGGAAAAATAAGAGGAAAACTGCATCATAAAAATTTAAAATGATTTGAAAAGAAAATAATTATTTAATTTCATTAGACTGTGTTTAGTCAAATGACACTTCTGTAAAAAACTTTTACCTTTAATGCAAAAAGGTTTATCCCCAGTGTGAACATTGTAATAAATAGAAATTTATTGTTTTTTTTTTAATCAATACTTTTAAAGATGGGTTACTTTTTCAGCAGAAGTAGTTGGCTTTTTCATCAATAGATGGCACCACCATGATAAAGTTTATTAATATTTAAGGAGGATTGAATTATCACTTTTGTAGTGTATTAGTGGGCTTGTGACTGTTTTTTCTCACGGATCTTTTTCTTTTCTTTTTTTGTTCTGCCGTCCATTGGTTGCGTGGCAGCTCGTTAAGGAGTTAACAGGTCAATCTAGATTTTTTCGCCTTGCTGAGAGGAGATTAAAAGGGATGTGAAGAGTGGGTGAGATAGTACCATGGAGAGGGCGGAGCATGCCCGCTGGAAGGTTGATCTGAGACAGCACCGCTGAGAGGATGGATCGTTGTCTTGAGGAAAGCTAAGCTGAAGTCTCTGGGTTGACGACCGAAAGTGATAAGCTGAAGGCCTCTATGTTCGAGACTGTGGGCCAAACCCCGAGTGTACCCATACTGAAAGTCCGGTGTTTCCCTTGTGCCTGATGCCTTACTAGGAGAAAGCCTAAGGAAATTGGAATAGTTGGAGTACTAGCTATCAGAAACTAGGAGTTTGCTTTGTCCACGAGTTTAGCTGCAATTCCGGTGGGCGTTCCAGAAGGTGATCCGTAAATTCATTTTGTACTTATAAAATTTTAATTTTGATTTGGATACCATTTTAGAAGAATAATTTACCCTAAATTTTAAACTGTTTCTACTGTGCAGGTACATATTATAGATACATATTTTAAGGAGAGCCATTGATATTTAAGCATGATTACAGGTTATAAAGATATCATAATCTAAGTTTTAAGTGATTTTAGTAGAGTTAGAATGAGAGTGCATTTTATTTCTTAATTGTCTTTTTTGATTGGCATTAATGGAATGTTATGCCTTAGAATTTTAAAATTGCATTTTATCAAAAGGGTTAATCGTGTGTATAAAATTTTGGAACTTGAAATAGTGTATAATTTAGAGATATTTTTGCACCTGTTAGCATTTGGAAATGATTGGAGTTATGTTTGTTGAGAATTTAGAGTTGTAATAAAATTAAGTTTTAAATGTTAAGTGTTTCCTGTAATTCCTTGGTTATTTGTCTATTGTTGAACCTGGGTTACCGAAGTTAAATTTAGCGATCACAGCCTAACCAAAGTTTGAAGGGTAACAGTACAACATGACTGTGTTCAGTTATTTTACTTTACAGTAAAAACATGCTGCAAGAATACATAACTTACACCAATACAAGTCAGAACACCAGTAAGAGTCACAATATGGTAAGTAAAAGGAAAATTTCTTTTGACATATAGAACAAGAATAAGGTATCTCACCATATCAATATAACTATGGTTAGTTAGATTAGCACTTTCTGAGAAACACTTATTATATATACTACAAAAAAATATAGTATTAAAACACAAACAGGAATGTAAATGAACATGAATAAATGCAAACATTTAGATCACTATTATTTTTAAAAAAAAACTACTTTATCATATACTTCAAAAATATGGTGTGTCACTAGTAAGAACATTACTGTATTTAGTCAGATTATATTTCTGAGAAAATCTCTTATTTAACTCATCTCAATTTATCTCTTATTTATCTTATCTCAAAAAAGTTTCTTACCAGTGAGAACACAAACAGCAAAGTCAGTCTTTTGAAAGATAAAAAAAAACTATTTTTACAAGAAAGGGAATGGGAAAATATATTACAAGAATGAGGTTTCTCACCAGTATCAATGAAACTAATAATTAGGTGGATCTTAAGTGGAAGAAAAAAAAACTTTCAACATATAGACGAATATGGCCTTTAAATAGCATGAACATGACTGTGGCTAGTTAGATAATCCTTCCTTGAAAAAGCCTTATGACATATACTACATGAAAAAGGTTTCTCACCAGTATGAACACGACTGTGTTTATTCAGAAGATCTCTTTTTGAAAATCTCCTATTACATATGCCGCAAGAATAGGGTTTCTCACCAGTATGAACCCGATTGTGATTAGTTAGATGATCCTTTCTTGAAAAACTCTTTTGACATATACTACAATTATAAGGTTTCTCACCTGTATGAATACGACTATGTATAATCAAATGACTCATTAGCGGAAAACCTTTCTTACATATGCTACATGAATAAGGTTTCTCACCAGTATGAATGAGACTATGCTTAGTTAGATCACTATTGCTTGAAAAACTCTTTTTACATATACTACAAGAATAAGGTTTCTCACCAGTATGAACACGACTGTGTTGAGACAAATTACTTCTACTTGCAAAATTCTTATGACATATACTACATGAAAAAGGTTTCTCACCTGTATGAACACGACTGTGTTTAGTCAAATAACCTTTTTCTGAAAAACTCTTATTACATATATTACAAGAAAAAGGTTTCTCACCAGTATGAAGACGACCATGTTGAGTCAAATTACCTCTAAATGAAAATCTTTTATTACATATATTACAAGAATAAGGTTTCTCACCAGTATGAGCACGACTATGCTCAGTCAGAGTACTTTTTTGTGAGAAACTCTTATTACATACATTACAAGAATAAGGTTTCTCACCAGTATGAACACGACTATGTTCAGTTAGTTGACCTCTTTGTGAAAAACTCTTATTACATATACTACAAGAATAAGGTTTCTCACCCGTATGAACACGACTGTGTTTATTCAGAAGCTCTCTTTGTGAAAAACTCTTATTACATACACTACAAGAATAAGGCTTCTCACCAGTATGAACACGGCTGTGTTTCGTCAGATTACTTTTTAAGGAAAAACTTTTAGTACATATACTACAAGAATAAGGTTTCTCACCAGTATGAATACGACTGTGTTTAGACAGATGATCACTTTGAGAGAAACTCTTATTACATATACTGCAAGAATAAGATTTCTCACCAGTATGAATTCTACAGTGTTTAGTCAGACTACTTCTTCCTGAAAAACTCTTGTTACATATATTACAAGAATAATGTTTTCTTACAAGATGAAAAACACTGTTTACAATAAGTTTACTTTTTTGAGAAATTTTTTTTTCAGTCATAATGTCCGAATAAAGTTTCTCAACAGTGTGAAGAGAAATGAGAATGATTTAATGAAGAATTCTGATTGGTGAAAGAAATAAGTTTCTAGCTAATATGAACTGCATTAACTATGGGTAACTCTTGCTTGCTTTAAAAAATTATATCACATACACGACCAGAGTACTATGCAAAGTTATCTTGCTGTAAATCACTTTTGCATGCCTATCTAGAGCAAGAATCATAAGGGTGGTTTCATAAACTGTGCATAGGCAAAATCTCTAGAATAACCATCAGAAAATATGCTGCTAAAAATGGAGACTCCAATCTACTGTACAATGAGATTAAAAAAGAAATGCATCAGTATGAGATAAAAAGACTTTTCTATTATAAATCAAATTTTTGCTACAATTTTTTTTTTATTTGATACAAAATTAGAAAGTTATAATTTGATAATGGAAAATATAATTATTCAATGATTAAAATAAAGGAAGGAATTCAAAATAATTTACTACAAAAGTTACTTATTCTGAATTAAATGAGGCCTTTAATAGCACATGTTTCAAAAAAGAGCATGCTGTATCAAGTAACTTACTTTGGCAAAATTTTTTAAGTAAGCAAAATATAATTCAGTAGAAATATGATCACCTTACAACAGGATTTATTAATAGATGCATCTGTGAAAGCATTAATTTAAATTATATTGAGATGCATAATTTTTTTTCACAAACTACTTTAATAATATTTCTCCTTTGTCATAAATACCAAGATACAAAACTATATTAAATTACTTCACATTATATTTTTAACACAAACTGCAGAAACAATGAACATCTTCATGTATTAGATTCAATTAAATAAGACACACTATAAATGAATGCATTTTTAGACAAACAGCAAAATTTGTGTTATTTGTAACTAGGAAGACAACTAATAAAAATGAACATAAATAAATAATAATGATATTTAATATTATGAACATGAATTTGTCAAATTTAATTTCATTTACAATTTATCCACACAGACATTGCAAAAATATAGTTCATTATAAATTAAGACAAGCAAGAAAAAAATTGTTTTCACTTTCACTGACTTAAAAGGTTTGACAATATCTATGATGATATAAAAAAAAAATTATTGCCACTGTACTTTCATACACAATAAATGCAACCTCTTATTCATTACATAAATATGAGAAAGTCCAAAAGAGTCAATTTTATTTAGGAATATTAAATTGCACAAACTGCATACAGAAAATATTTTCACAGAATGAACAAGAAAATCATATAAATATCAAATTATATGTGTTTTATAAGGAAAAGACAGGTTAATTATCTATAACTGTAATCACTAATCTTCGCTTTAAATCTATTTATAACTGTTTAATTATGCACTGCATAAAAAAGTTTGTTTAAAGTGTTACTTCGATTAAACCAAATTATTCTTTTTTTCCTTGATTAATTTATCACAATGACTACTTAAATAAACTATTTCCATATTATGAACGTAAAACAACTGAAATAAAACTACTTAATTTTGCTTACTTAGAACAGAGGTAAAATGTTTTATAATAAAGAAAAAGAATTATGAACTACACTTGGAAAGTTTAAAACACACCAAGTACAAACCTTAATTTCCATGTTTAAAAATATTTTTCTGTTAGAACATCATTGCAACTACACACATTGGGCAGAAACTATTCGCTGTTAGCACGATAGAACGACATTGCCTTTAATATTTCCTTTCGCCAGGGAGAAATTACACACATTTCAGTTGAATAGTTCATTAATTATATAAATCGTACAGAAAACACGCTAATTTTAAAAAAAAGATATATGCACTTACGACAAGGATTTTATTTACTGTCATCACAAAAATATTTTATCAATCACATCAATTTTTTGCAATATTTTATCACTTACATCGAGATCTGCATGAAATAACCTTTTTAAAACACTTCTATATTGTTTTTTACGCAGTCTTATAAATTTGATCCAAGTAAGGGCAAATCAAAAACAATTTTAAAAAGCTTTTCGTCACATATATAAGGTTAATAAAAGTCCTCATCAGTATAAGTAAGATAGTATACTTCAATATAATTCATCTCCGTAGAGAATTTTCCGGTGATAGTTGTTTACGTTATCGGTTGCCTACTTCTATTCACCTGATCTCCAGGATCTTCAAGCAGTTTTTGAAAAGTAGAGGACGCTACTACTGATTATCAGCTTATCCTTGTTTTAAAAGAGCATTCATACTGTGTTGCAGAAAATAGCATATGCGATTGTTGTTGTTGGAGTTCATTTACGTTGCACTAGAGCTACACAATGGTCAATTGACGACGGTCTAGGAAACATCCCTAAGGATGATCCGAAAACATGCCATCGCAATTTTGATCCTCTGCAGAGGGGATGGCAACGCGCTTCGGTAGCCCGACGACCTGCGAGAGAAGTTGAGGACTGTACGGAAGAACAGTTCAGCGAGGACCAATACCGGACACCCTCGGTCCCTACACAGACTGATCCAAGTGGTCACCCACCTGCACACTGACAACAGCCAGTGATGCGTGACTTCGGTGATCTGCTGGAAACCGTGTCTTAACGATCAGTCCATTGCGGGGACTCCGAGATGCAAACTAAAGCTTCATTGGTGGAATACTTTACTCCCAAAAATCTCCCAATCATTTTCTCAATGGCATCTTATGAATCGCACATGCGTCCCACAGTGGGCTGATTGTGTAGCTCTAGTGCGACGTAAATGAAATACAACAACAGCATCTTGGAATTCACGTGTACATTTAACACAACTCTGATAGTTATCGAGGAAGAATGAGAGCCTGAATTGATAATCCTTTTCTCTCGACGAAGATCGGAAGTGCGCTAGTGTCAACATTCTCTGAATTCTATCTACAAATATGTATATATTATATATATAATGTATATAATAATAATATATTATATATTATGTATACAATGTATATAATAATAATATATTATAT